GGGAATTACCATCCAGAAGTAGATGTGAAATTACCAGACTTAAAGAAACTCAGGAGAAATCTCATCCTATAAAACACTGGTGCTTTTGTTCAAAACATGCATCTCTTTTCTCACAGCCCTTCATTCTTCACCCCTCCTCCTTCTTTCTCTCCTTTGAAACTCAGCTTTACTTTGTTTCATCCACAGCATCATTTGTTTTCACAGCTTGACAATGCAGATTTTAAGTCTAAGACCTATGGAGACCCTTCTTGTTGCAGTAACATACCTGTGCTGTGGCTGCCCAGCAGCCTGCACCCTCCCGCTGGCTCTGGGGCTCGCTGGATCCTGCTCAGGATGCTGAGCAGCAGGAAGAAAGTCAGTTTTGGTTGGGTTAGTTTTGTGTCAGCTCAACGTGTTGAGGCAGTTCTGTTACAGGGTCAAGTGAGAAAGGGAGTGGAAAAGAGGGAGACCATGTAGGACAGGAGAGCTGGAATGCTGCAGAGCCACTGCCTCCAGCCCCATTTTTTTTAGATGCTGGTACATTATATCCCTTGTATGGATGTTTGTCCTGGTTCTTGCTCAGGGCATTGACCTGAACATGCTGGTTAACAGCAGTTCTCCACTTAGTCCCATCCCAGTGCAGACCTATGGGGCTTCTCCATTTTAAAGCCCGTTTAATTCTGGTATTTTGATGGAGCTGGGGAAGCACTGACAGAAACAGTTGACACCACAAACAGTTCTGCTGGCACATCAGAGGAGGTGGCAGCCTCAGGGTGGGAGCCATGGAAAGCAGCTGTGAACAGAGGCAGACACCTCTGCATGGAGCTCAGCTGCAGCTCAAACAGGATGCACAGCCCAGGGTTACCGCTGCAGCAGGTCAGCGGAAGGGGCAGGGTGAATCAGTACAGAGCAATTGAAATCTATTCCAGTGCCTGCCCATAAAACCAAAGGGGACTTTCTTGCTGAGATTTGAAGAGATTTGGCTAATCCTCCACCATTCTGTTATTTCTGTCATCAATCTAGTGCCTGGTTTAATTCCCATCCTAGACAAAAGCAGAAATACTGGGCTATCACAAGTAGTTGGTGTCTGTAGCTCTTCAGGCCAGGTAGAAAAAGAAGTGTGGACCCATGAATTATCCACCTGGTTTCTCAAAGTGTGTCTGTACAGTCTGAGTGCATCAGCCTCTCTTAGAGCAGGTACCGTAAGGCACCAGCAACAGCGGCATTTCTGACTGTGATTTACTATGGTTTGGCTCAACATCTCAGATCCTTTGAGCTCTTGAGAGGTGAAACCTCTGTGGTCTCCAGGTCCAACGAAGCATTTGTCAGAACGAGAAGGTAAAGGGAAGGGGAAACACGCTGTGTGACACAGAGGGAGGAATGAAGGCAGGACTGAGCAAGACTCAAAGATGTGACAGCAATTCCCAACCATTGTAACAGCCCTCGGGAGAGCTGCTGCAAACTGGAATAGTCTGTTACAGCCCTGAGGGACCAGGGCTAGAGCAAGGGAGGTATCAGCCAGCTTTGTCCCCCTCACAGGGCTCAAGCTCAGCATGACTTGGAAAGCAAAGGATCTGTTTTTTTCGCTGGGAAATGGGGATCTGTGGATGCCAGCTGCTTAGAGCTCTTCTGACAGTAAGTGCAAAGTAGGAGCATTGCATAGCTCTGTGATCTGGTCCCCCTTAATCCAGTGATCACTTTCTCTTAGGCCAAGGGGAATGGCTTTAACCTGACAGAGGGGAGACTGAGCTGAGCTCTTAGGCAGAAGCTCTTCCCTGTGAGGGTGCTGAGGCGCTGGCACAGGGTGCCCAGAGAAGCTGTGGCTGCCCCATCCCTGGCAGTGTTCAAGGCCAGGCTGGACACAGGGGCTTGGAGCAAGCTGCTCCAATGGAAGGTGTCCCTGCCTGTGGCAGGGGTTGGAAACGGAGGAGCTTTAAGGTCCCTTCCAGCACAAACCCTTATGTGATTCTATGATCCCTCTTCTGTCCCTCACAGGAGGATGGAGCCCTCACGTTTGCAGAGCACTGGTGATGTGACACCATGCTCATGTACGACTGGAGGAGCTTTACTCATTTCAATGCCACCGGAGGAATACCTGCCCTTTGCTGCAGCTAGAGCAACTCTGGAGCAGCCCTTAACCCTCAGGCCACTGATGACAGGGTGCCTGACATCCTTGTATGCCTGCAAGCACGCAGCCAGATCTCTCTGATGCAAAGCCCCTTTGGCCATGTGCTGCTATGCGAGGCAGCCTCCATGCTCTTTGCATTTCAATCACATGCATCTACATCCAATCATCTGAGAATCTTATCACACCTCATATAAGTCCCCTTTGCTCCATAATTACAGGGGCCAAACTAAGAGGGTCCTTAAGCTGTTTGTGTGTCAGGTGATCAGGATGTGGCCTAAGGTATCAAAACTTCCAGCAATAAAGGGGACACCACCATCCATAGCTAACCCCTTCAGGGGCCGGTATGTGGCAAGCTCTGGAATGCATCACTTCTCTTCTTTTGCTTGATATAATTACTTTCAGTGTTATTTAAAGCTCTGACTAATCACATGGCAATGGCCAGGTTTATAATGCAACAGTGTGCAGCCTGGAGCAAATTCTGGCATAATTACGCTGTATAAATTCCCCCATTAGGAATGACACTGCGTTGGCATTGTGTACAAAGCAGCCATGGTCCAGTCAACTGCCTCTGTGAAAATCTGTCTGACAATTGTTTACCCTGTTGGTATCTTATTGACACTTCCTACAATGATGACTGTTACATGACAGCGAAGGGGAGCCAAAGGCACAACAAGTTTCCTCTCGCTTGCTTCAAGTGTGGTCGTTCCTTCGCCTGATTTCCTCCAGTTGAGGGCTTGTTTGGTTCTGATGGCTCTGAAACAGAAAGAGAAGCATATGGTTATGAGACAGATCACAAAAGCCCATCAAAATCATGGTTGGGGTTACATCATTTGCCACAAGGAGCAATTACTCCCCATGGAAATGTCCCTTCACTGCAGTGTGATTATGGGCTGGTTTAGGATTCATTCTGAGCTGGCATTGCCTTGCACCATGGCACACTGTGGGAGCCAAGCTGCTCTCCTGCTGCTTTTGAGACATGTGGCAGGGCACCGTGATGGGCTGAGGTGTCAGAGCCTGGCTGCTTGTGCTGCAGGATGACTGTGATGTACCTGTGTCTAGCTGCAGCGTCAGGCTGCCCTCTTGGCTGGGAGCAGGATGATGCTCTCAGGGCTGTGGCCAATGCTATTTGGGCAAAGGAAACCAAACTCATTTCCAGTTTCAGAGCACTGATTCAGTGCAGGACAAGGAAGGATTTTGTCCTTTTCGGTCATTATCTTGTTTAATGAAATAGTAATCTGGAGAAATTCATTGAATGCAATGAATATTGGTTATGAAAGCAAGAACTTGTAGAGTGCTTCAAAGGCAGTTTTATCACCTCCCTGAGGAAGGCTCAGGAGGAACCCACTGAAAATACATATTAAACAACAGGCTTGCTAGCAACAGAATAGCAACAGCGATGTGGTTCAGAGGACAGGATAGGGGAGTACAATTCCAGTCTCTCTCTAGCCTGGGAGACCTGAGATCATTTGAAGTCTGGGGAATGGGATCTGAAACCTTCCCAGATCTTCAATGTCAAGCTGGCCCAGGAGACCAGGAGGCCTCCAATGCAGGTAAATATAAGAGAAATAGATGCAGAATCACAAAAGACTGAGTTTCTTCATTTACCCACGGAATAGACTGTTCTTTAAAGGAGGTATTGTCATGCCCATTTGGGCATCTCTGGGGCTTTGTGCAATACAAGTACCATTGGTAGCATTTGTCCGTTTTCACCATGTAAGAGCTGCACTCATTGACCCCCCTGTAAACCTAGAGCAATAACCCATTTCTTCTGTTTGTTTGCTTTCAGTGTCAGCAGGGAAGCCAGGACCTGGCTGCACCACATTCTCCTTCCTAAGCAGTAAATAATGCCCCTAAGATAGAGCTTTTCCTGATAGCACTCAGAGGCTGAGATGCTGTTGCATGTATGGGAACAGTGGTGCGGTCCCCTGCTTCTGTTCCCAACCCAGTGTCCCTGCACTGAGCTGGGTCCCTGTGGGAACACAGTGCTTTCCCCCAGTGCCACCAGCGATACTGTAGGACCCGAGCAGCCCCTGCTCTGCTAGCACTGCTGTTCCCTATGGCAAACCAAACTGTGGCTAAAGGAGTATTTAGATACCCAGGGCTGCCAATTGAGAACTTTCCTAAAACCAGCAGTAAAATTTGCCTCTAATTCCTTTTTAGGGAAAGCAGGCTGTAGCATTAAGTCCCATTTTCTAGGCATTAAAAGTTTACAACCCGCACCATTAAAAGCAGCATTCTATGTCCAACTTGATGTTTGGTCTTCAGGAACAACTAGGAAGAAAAGAGAAGGTTCCCTGTTTGTTCTACAAAACAGGAAAGTGGCTGCTTTCTATATTGTAAATATGCATTAGAAAGCTCTTATAGGCTCGTGCTGGGGATTTGATGTTTTTAACTGACTACATTCCTTACATTTTTGTCTAACTGCCAAGAAAGCGAAATAAAATGGCTTTTTTAGTGTTTCCTCTAAGAATAGCCCTGCTTCTTTGTAAATATAGCAAAGGAATTGTTGATAATAATTCTTTGGGAGAATAACTGGTGTTATTGATGTTGAAAGTAGAAAGATTGCTGTTTCTGTCTCAGAAATAGAGCTAACCAAGTGAGCCTGAGCATTCCTTAGCCAGCTCCTGAGATGGGGCTGGGTTTGTTCCTGTTCCAGGAGGTGTCGAACCCGAGAAGCCTGGCACCAGAGCCCAAGACTAGGAAAAATAAATAAGATTTGCATTCTCTTTCAGAGCACAACCCTGAACTTTTTCCCTCTTTGCTCCCATTTCCCACTTTGCAGATGGTTCTGCCCTCTGCCAGCTTACCCAGAGACGCTGGGGTTAATCTACTCAGGCTGCCCAAGCAAACACGCACAATTAACACTTGGTGAATCAAATATGTACAGTTAACTGGGTGAAGTCCCGTCCTCCTGCAGTACCAGAGACAAAGGCTGTCATTCTGCTCTAGAAGTTGATGAGTTGAGCTGAGTTTTAGATTACAGGCCCCTGGCTGCTGCTGGTTTGACACCCACCATACACCCAGCCCTCAGTTAGATGTGCTCTGTTAATGCCATATGATAAAACAGCGGTAAAACCAGGACTGCAGCATGAGAATTTGAAGCAAGCTGTGCCATGCTCTGGCTGCTGAACATCGCAAGGCCTCTCACAAAGGTTCCCTGTCATTAACCAGACCTTCTGATGAGCATGCAGAGATTTGATGCTTGTTTCAGTGAGCCTCGCCAGGGCTGGTAGCCCTCCTTAGCCTTAGTTCAAAGCAGAGACTCAGTGGGGCCAGGCTGTAGGTTTGCTGCCCAGGTGCTGTTTGTGCTGACTCTTCCTCCTCCTGCCTTCCCCAATGGCTGGGAAAGGTGGTCAAGGGCTGTTCCCAATTCACCTTTGCCAGCACCAGGCAGCAGTTTATAGACCTCTGTTGTATTCTCACTTTACTTCCTAGACTGAAAAGCCCCAGTCTCTTTAGTTACACCCCATAGAGATAAAGCAGGTAAAAATGGGATCACTTGGGGTAAAAGGGTAATCAGTCATTCCTGCCATCACTCTTCTTCCTCTATTGTCAGTTTGGTTACACGGTCTCCTTAGCAAGATTTACACCATCCCAGGTGGCATTTGAGGCCAAATGCCAAACAACTTGGCATCTTTTGAGCCAAAGGGATTGTTCTGTGTTTCACCCTCAAGCCTATGCTTGTGCCACAGCTTTGATGATATTCTCTACCCAAAGCTATAATATTTAGAATGACACCAGAATTCATAGAGCCTGTAAGGGAGAGGCACCTCATCATCTCTAGAGCGATTTGTGAATGAGAGGTGAAGAAGGGTGGAAGGCAGAGATTTAAAGGGCAGAGAATTGTCAAGGTTTAAGAAATTAAAACAGCCCCCACTGGCCCCTTTATCTATCAATTTAAACCAAAACCCCAACAACACCCCAAACCAGTTTGGCTTTATCAAGATGAAGAGATGCCACATAGTCTGACTACCTCATTAATGAGCTTCTCTGTGGTTTAGGAAATTCAGATCTGCCAGCTCTCATTTCCAGCATGCATCTAGGCTGGTGGCTGCTCTGCTTGTGTTCCTACACCTCATGTTGTGACCAGTTCCGAATCTGGGATGAATCACAAGCAGGTAGGACCCTGTTCAGGCCCAAATAGCAGCCAACCTACCAGGCTCATAGCACTTCAGTCCTGAATGAGGGCAAAAGTATGAACATTGCCTGTCCTATGAGATCTCTGTCATTCAAAGCCAAATCCACACGCTAAACTTGATTTGCCTATTCCTTTTACTGCTCTTTGGAGAGGTCTGAGCACTGTGATGAAAGGACCCTGTGGAGTACAGTGAGACAAGAATATGTTAAATGTTGCAGATGTGCTCAAATTGGGGATAGGGAGATAACCCAGTGAGAAAAGTAGTCTGGGATCAAAACCACTGTGATTTCTAATAACTGGAGAATTGAGCTGTAACAGCCTGCAGAGCATCTGTGTGTTGGTCTGCCCATAGAAGACACAGCTTCCTTTAAGCTACCCAGACCACAGGCTCCAAAAGGTCCTGTACTAACCTTAGGATAACATAACTGTTGCCTCCCTGAGACCCTAAGTGTGCCTAAACAAGGGGGATGTGCGTGAGGGCTGAGTTCCCAGAGTGGGTGCTGGGAGCACAGTGTGAGAGCGTGCGATGCTGTGCAGAAACACGGCTTAAGGTCAGACTCGGCTCTAAAGCTTCCTCAGAATCCCAAATCCTCTTTTTATAAGAGTTTCACTCAAACACAAACAATTAAAGAATTTCATCTTCTCCTCCTATGGTGGGAAAGCCTGGATGCTCCTCTGGTCTCTAAACTTTATTAAATAGCTCAGAGCCTTCCCTCGGTGAGGGTCCTGCTTGGCTTCACACAACCCGGATCTTTGTGTTCGATGCAAATAAATTGGTCACTGATGCCAGTTGGCAGCAGGGAAGAGAAATCACACAGCCTGTTGCAAGGAAGGGAGCTGCGAGCCTCATGGCTGCTGATACGGTTGGAGTCGTTTGCCAAGGACCCCCATCAACGGCAGCACCTTTTCAGAGACCTCAGTGTGTGCTATTGCGCATCTCCACTATCCACCTCTCCTTATGCTTCACCTCCTAGGGACAACACCTATGCCAGCCTCTGTGCTCAAGCACTCGATGTTCGGATGCCTGCCTGGGGCACAGGGAGATGGGTTTTGTCATTTTAATGCTGGAATTTACCCCATTAATAGCAGTGATCTGACACAACGGGCAGAAACTCTCCCCCTGGACCGGTTGCTCTGGAGGCCTGCGGCTCTCTCATCACCAGGGCTTTGTCAGAGCGTGCAGTATGCTAACATCCTGCCAGCTCACCTTTCTCTAAGCGTCAGTCCCACCAGTGCAAATAAGGTGTCTGCCACATGTCTGCTGGTTTCTCCCTGGTGCACTGAGGCAAAGCAGCCCTTCCTTGTCAGTCAGTGACCAAAACTGTTGATTCTGGAACAACTGACTGTGCTGGCTGTAAAGGATGCCAAAACCTCTTGAAAGCTGGGAGGCAAAGGTGTTTTCTTTGTAAATGAATTTAGCTGTAGAAGGAATTTCCCTGAGAGCTTGTTTGATATCTGGACTAGAAATGGCTTTCCTTCTCCATCTCCACCTACTCAGCCCTCAGAGCCACATCCAGGGAGCCTTTGGACACAATTCTCCTCTCGACATTCCCTGCTTTGGAGTTCCTCTGTGTTTATCTCTAGACAGCTGATGGATGTTCCAGGTGAGTCCAACTGGAATGTGCTTGCTGGGTTGGTGTCATGGACTTAGTGCAGCCTAGGGAGGGTTCCTCAGTTGCAGAGCACATTTCCTGTTGTATCAGACATTTGTGGCAGGGCTGAGCTGAAGGAAGCTTGGTCCAGTTTGGTTAAACTGCCCGTTCAAATCACAGCCAGCTCCTGAGCTGCTTGTTAAAGCTCAGGTCTGGTACATCCCACTTGATGTAAGCGCTCTCTGGTTCCCTGGGAGCCATCCCTGCTCAGTTCAGCAGCTTCCCCCTTTCCCTCCCCATCAGCAGGCCAAGGGGGATTTCTGGCCAGCTCCAGGCCCCAGGGTCACCCAGGTACCTCCTGCCTCCCTTGCCAAACACAGCTGTGCAAAAGGAAGGCACATCCTAAGCGCTGTGCATGCCCGAAGCAGCACGGATCTATCATATTGCTAAATGCTGCCATGTGTGATAGAGGCAGGACCTTGCAAGGCAAAAGACATTTTGCAGCCACATAGGAGAGCGACCCCATGGTAAGAGTGGCTTTTAAGAAACAAGTCTGAAGGAGAGGAGTGGTAAACCCAGCTCTACCTGTACCCAAAGACACAGGTAACACCTGGTGGCACTGATAAAGCTGGTGCTGTGAGCCTTAGCTCCCATAGGAAACAGGACCTCTACCAGCATCCGTAAGTAAATATCCCCCTGTGTCTTTACACACTTAAATACCTTTGCAAACCTGGCTCCTTGCCTGTTTCCCACACTGGGCTGCTGCTGCTTTACTTGTGCACAGCAGCAGGAGCAAGGAGCTCAGCTGTAATTTGGGGTTGTGTTGTGCTAAGCACTGTACAGGCACAGAACAAAAGACCTCTGACTGCTTCCCAGCATCCAGCTCTTGTTGTTTCAAAAACAACCCTCCCCGTTTCTCTGGTTTTTCACTTTTATTCATTGTTTTCTTGCTTCCTTTATATTCCTGGTGCCTCCAAGCTAGAATACCTTTGCTGGGCTCCTGAGGGAGCCAGGCCAAACCACATGGAAAGGGCTTTTTACCTGTGTCCCGCTTATCTACAAGAGGTAAGAGTGGTTGGAGCGAAGCTGCAAGGATTGAAATGAAGGGTGTCAGAGGTAATGCTGCACCACAAACTTAGTGCTCCAAGGTTCCCACTGGGATTAGGGAACATAAGCACTGCTGGGGGAAGAATGCACAAGTTTGGACCAAGGAGAAGTGAGCAGATGCAAATATGTGACATGGAACTGAAAAGCTGAGCTCCAAGAGAGGCAAATGTACTCCAGCTGCAGCTGGAACTGGTGGGTTCTGCTCCTCCTCTGCCCAGGCTCTTCATTTGACAGCAATGACCAACATGGGATTTCCTTCAGGGCTGTGCCAAGGAGCTTCATTGCTTAAGTGTTGACCCTTAGCTAGGTAAAAGCCACTGCATCACAACCACCCACCCTTGGGTTCCAGCTCTGAGCAACGCTCTGCATCCATCCACGACTTACACAAATCTCAGCCACCATGTTTTAAAGGGAAAGTTCTTGAGCTGGTGTTTCTGGTGAAATCCCAATGGGAGAAGTGTGATTTCTGGGTGCTTTGATGCATTCCAGGTTCATTTTGGGGCTCTACAATTCATGGCAGCTGGTTCTTTGATTATTTTACGTTAAGGACCAACTTCCAGTAACATCAGTGGGAGCAGGATTTTAGCTCTAAAGCTATTATTAACTAATGCAGCACAACAATGCCTGGCTTTGGTTCTGTTTTGTTTTCTCCCAGGGTCGGAACGTGTGTGTATCCCATTAACTCTGTCCTCGCTGCTCTCAAGATGTTCCGCACAAATGATTTTATTTTTTTGGTAAGAAAATCTCTTTTACAAGGCAGTTTTATGAGAGCTGACAAAATGCCTCGTAAATAACCCAGCAGGAAATATGGGGTAAATAAAATTTTTACAGCTTTATCATAAACCTGAGAAGTCTTTGGTTCCTTTTCGAATGGAATGAGCAAGGTATTTCATTAAAGGAAAAGACAGGCTCTCTAAAGCCCAACAATTATAGGCACAATGCCTTTTTAACCTGCAATTCAGTCAAACAGGTTTGGTGGCAGTGCACAATGTTAAAGGCCCTGTTTTGACACTTTGGGTCACGCTCCCCACAGATCAATTGGTGCTGTAGGTTCCCTGCACAGCAGAGCTGGAGAACTGGTGTGTGCTTGACCTGCCCCCAAAGCACCCAGGACCTCTAAGGGAACATGTATCTGGGGAACATGCTTAGGGCAGGCTGAGGCTTTCTGCTGCCTTTGTGCATCTCATACAGGGGGGCTGTGGCTGGGCCCCTGAGGGCAAAGGGAGTACAAACAAATATGGTCCTCAGGTCTTCAGCATAAGCCTGAAATGTGATGATTTGGTCAAAGACCAAGAGTCTGAAATAGAAACGCTTGGAACAAGCCTCAGTCCTTGAACTTTGCGTGAAGGGGGAATTCAGCTCTCAGCAGGAGGATCTTTGGCGTGTGATATTTTGGTGCTGTGGGAAGGAGGGAGGGGGGTGTCACTTCTAAGTCCTTTGCACTTGTAAAAATTCATATTGACATCCATGACTATTTTCTGCTCACAGTGAAACAGAAATTTGGCAAAACACAACCTGTTCCTGGGCGCCTAAGAGCTACAGAAACCACCTCCCAAAGGAAGCCATAAAGTGCCATTGTATGCCTACTGGGTCTGATGAAACACCAGAGGAAATGATCCCAAGTGAAGGTCTTTGCCATTTCTCACACCTCTGGTTCTCTGATCCACCCTCTTTGTGTCTCTGGGTTGGCTACAAATGGGAAGAGAACAGTCCTGGAAAGACTGTGCTTCAGAGAACAACTGGAGATGTTCAGATATGAACCTTATCTGCCTTGCATTGAGAGCATCATCAGAGGAAGACCAGAGTGGACTCCACCACCCAGCCTCACCTTGCTGGTACTACAGGTTGTACTGTGCAGCTTTGGCCCCCACCCCTCCTCCAGGGCCTTATTGCATAAAGCCCACCACCCAGGGTGGTATGGGCCCTACCTTGCCTCAGGGGCACTGCTGCATTCCCTGCCTTCCCACCCAGCCCTTTCCCACCCACCCAACATCATCTGAGTCCTCGGGACATCTACAGCAGCTTCCTACAGGAATGTCATGTCGGGAAGGCATTTAAAGCCTTTGTAGCTCTAATGCCATGTAAACAAGGAGGTAAGCCCACCCCACCCCACCACTCCAAAGCCCTTTTGATGTTGATTTCTTTTATGGCCACCAGCCACACTTTGGGAGAGCTGGTCCCTGCACCAACCCGTCTGCAGTCCTGCTGCCTGCTCCTGCCTAACACCCAGCTCTTGGAGCCCTCGCTGGCTTCTGAGCCAAGTCAGGGTGTCCCTGGGAGCTTTGCCTGTATAAGGGCTGTAGCGTCTGGCACGTTGTCTGGAAAGCGCTGTGTAAATAGGAGGGACAATTATCACAGCCCTTTCCCGAAAGGAAATTCCATATTGGCACCGAGCGGCAGGATAGGATGGCAGAGCAAGCTGGGCTGTGCGCAGGGCTCTGCCCTCCTCCGGCAGCCTCTGACAGCATGGGGAGGGAAACTGGCTCTTTGATGGGACACGCTGCTCTAGTGGAAGCCCATATGGTACTGAGCGATCTGTGCTGAATGCCCCTGTTATCCACACGCCCCTGTCACCGCCCCCCTGCCTCTACCCTCCCCTCGGGCCCCCTCCCTGATGCAGAGGTTAAATAAAATATCATTTCCTTCTGATTTAGCCTTTGTCTTTGGCAATCAAAATGCCCTTCAGGCCCCTGTGGATTCAACCTTCCAGGTCAGGGTAGGACATGGGAAACCCCTTCCCAGGCGTTTCACTGTAGATAATGTCACGGCTGATTCATGAGATCATTCAAAGCGCTGCCTGCCACTGTGGCTGCTGCTTTCTGTGCTGATGCTGCTTGGTTTGGGCTCTACCTCCTTTTCCCTCTAGCAACACCCAACAGAGATCATGCAGCAAAAGAATGGATGGTGTAAGAGGAAGATCTGTAAAGGACAGTGTATTACCTGGCTTTTATTGTGGAGTGTTGGTTTTTAACCTCTCTTTCCTTGCGTAGTTTTACTTATTTGGGTTGAAAGTGCAAAGAGGCAGCAGGGAGACAAACAGCACCGACTTCACCCAGTAATGTGCAATAGGTAAAAGGGAGGAAGGCTGACTGGTTTTTGGCATTTATGTGTTCTCTGGGGTAAGCAGGACGAATATAGAAGGAAAGTCTCCAATGCTGGTGTCCCATGCGTTTTGCTGTTTGAGTCTGTCCATTTCTGATGTGGTTCAGTGTGCAAACGTGCTGGCATGGATGTGCAGCAGGTACACGTTATACTCTCTAGGTGAAGGCCTCTGTGAGTGCAGGGCTTTCATCCACCTTCCTGCCTGATCCAAACTATCCTGGTTCAGCCCCATGCAGGGATACACACTGGTAGAAAAGCATGCTAGTGAAAACTGTCCATGAGCAGGCAGCTCTCGTCCCCAAACCAGTGTCTGTGGGCACAGCAGCTACTGGTATAACCATCAGGCTCCCGGCATCACCTCGCTGCTCTCTGTAAGTGACCAGGTAGGGATGCAGGAAAAGGCAAGCACTGAGTAAAGGACAAGGTATGGGCTGTCTGTGTGCATCCACCTTACCATGGGGTTATCCATGGGTCAAAGCACCCTGTATCTTTAGTGGATGGAGCTATAGGGAATTAGCTGACAGGAGTTTGGGCTGTGAGGCTGTTCCTTGGTTTTCCTTGCAGAAATAGAGCCTATTTGTCTATTTCCTTCTTTCTTTTTAAGCAGCAGGCTCCTAAATAACTATTTAAAGCATTTCAAAAAGCCGAACTGGCAAGACATGGAAATCAGAGGGAGACAGCAGGGAGGGGAACGCGCCTGAAAGCCGGGAATAAGAGGACAAATGGCCCCCGCCCCAGCGATGGTCCCAGCCCCCCATTCTCACCCTGCTAACATCCCTCCCTTTGGTAAACAGAGACAGGCAGGTTGGCACCTTGTTTCCCCAGACAAAGGAGCTGGCCCTTTGTCTCCCTGCGTGACTCCCTGGCAGATGGGGCTGGAGGGTGCCTGAGGGGTCTTGTTCAAGGAAAGCCTCCAGTATGCAAAACGCGCCCAGAGGCAGGCAGGAGAGCGATGGGCTTCCTCCTGTGAAAGGGCTGGGCAAACAGTTTCTATCTCCTGACAATTCCTTTTTGACTCTGAGAAAACACAAATAGTCTGTAGTTTTCCTAACTGAGCCTCTTGTTTTTATAGGAACTGAGAGGGAAACCCGGGATTTGGAGCCAAGCTCTATTTCTGGGGAGGGAGAAAGCCGGGATCCTGGCAGCAGGAATGTGTGCGTGTCTGAAATACTTAAAATTCTTTCCCAAAATGTCCTAGGAGGTGAGAATCAGGCCCAAAGAATCAGCAAGGTGCAAGTGTTGTGAAGTCCTGGTGTTTGCCAATCCCTGCTTCCAGCAGCGGGGATTTGCTGCAGGCTATTCTTGTTGCTTTCAAGGGGGTGAGTGAGGCAGAGGGGAGATAATCAAGCGCAAGAGTTGATGAGAAGCCCATAGCTGGTCAGTCAGTTCATCACCCACTGGTGTGTTTTAACCAGGTTTCCTTCCAAGGCCATTGCACCACACATAGGGCCCAACCTTAGCATTACTGGTTGGAGGCTTCCTCCAGCCTCCTCCACCACAAGAGGCTGAGCTGAGGCAAACAAATCACTGAAAACACATTGATTTCTTCAGGAAAGGTGTCAGGCACCACATGGGGAGACCCGTGGCACGTTTCCATACCCAGCTCTGCTGGGATGGCAGCTCAGAGCTCTCCTTATGGATGGCGAGTCTTTGAGTTTAAACCAGTCTCAGCCAATGGACCTGTTGTGCTGGCTCGGAGGTCTCAGCCCGGCTGGTAACAGGAAGATGCCCACACTGCTGTTGGCACGATTTGTCCCCTTGTTTCATTATTTTCCATCCCACTTTGACCTATTATTAACAGACCCACCTTCTACCTAGTGCTTCTGTTTCCCCTGATATATTTGTAAAAGGCCTCTTATTCTCCTTAATCCCTTTGGCTATAATTAACTCATTCTGCATTTTTGCTGCCCTTATCTTTTCCCTGCAAGCCTTAACTGACTGAATATTCTTGTTTGGTCGCCTCCCTGTTTTCCATTTCTACTAAAGGTTTTCTTTTTAATCCTTAGATCTCTGAGCAGGCTTTGCACACTCTTATTTCTTGCATTCTTCTTTATTTACTCTTCTTTTTCTCTCCCACCTTATGTACTTTGTGTGTAACACATGGGTAGATTTCAGAACCGTCTCACATCGCACTCTACTTGCCCAATCTCTTAATTCTCTTCAACACATTCTCCTTTTTCCTTTGGTGCAGTGCAATGTTTCTGTCACTCAGGAGATTCCCACCTTCTCAGGCTATTCATTTCCTTCACCCAAAGTCTTTGGTGCTATGGAAAACATGCAGAGTAAATTATTATTGGTGTAGGGGTTATTTTTGACCCAAATGTGGACATGGGCTCGGTGCTATTCAGGAAAGTGGATCTTGGCTCTTGGTGACAAAAGTGTCTTTACAGTTTGGCCGATTGTAACATCCTGGCATCAGTTCCCAACAGGACAGCCCTTTTCTTTACTCCCCTCAGTCCCCAGCTTTTCAACCCTTCCTCTCAGCTGGGTTTGTGTTTACCATGATGCCTTTGAATAGGGTTTATTCTGATGTGTTTTATCTCTCATGTTGACAGTGGTATCTCTGAGGGGACTGTTCTGCTGCTGCTGGGAAACTGGGTATTCCCTCACACTCACAGGGACAAATCCATGGCACGTGATGGGGATCCACTGTGTTCACCTGAGAGGAAGGTGCCAGGGGTTGGGCTGGTGCTGTGTGTTTGAGGACCAGGGTGGTAAAAGCTCTCAGGGGATGGTGGGACCTGTTCAGTGTGCAGAGCTGAGGCAGGCATCCTGGTCCATTCAGCTGCAGAAGGAGGGGGCTTGGGAATCCCTCTTGCTGCCAACACCTAACCCAGGAGCAAGCCTGGCAAGAGGATACTTCTACTGAGAGCAGGGAGGTGTGAACAGAAGTGGGATCTAAAGCCATGCAAGTCCTGCCTGAGCATCCCATGGAGAGGCCACCGCCGGTGCAGGTATGCTGGGTAATTCAGTGTGGATGGGGGAAAGCAGTGTTCTTTTGTACTGGCTGTTGTGGAAACAGAGGCTGTGGAGGGGAACTTACCCCATGCAGTTCCAGCATGGGTCTGGCGTTGGCACTGTCCTCTCCATGAGGAACAGGGTCCGTGCCACACACCCTGGGAGGGAAAGGCAACACCTTTCTTATCCCACCCCCAGCTCCCTTTGCTCCATGGAGATGAGGGCTGTGGTGCTCGGACAGCGGGATGGCAGCAGGGAGGAGGCCACGTGCCATCCCTCATAAACCTCCCTCCTTCACACCAGGCAGAACTGGCACCGCTGCCCACTGCTCCATGCTCAAGCCCTAGTGAGGGCAGCAGCATCAGCGGCCATGCCCATGGCTGGTTCTGCTCCAGCTCACGTGTGTGTGCAGGAGCCCGGCTGCCCCAGCTCACGCTCACGCCTGCACCCCAACCATCCTCCTGCCACAAAAGAGGCTTCTTTATGTCCTGCGAGAGGAGGAGGTGGGAGAGAGGGAACGTGAAGGCTGTGAATTCCTCAGCCACATATCTCGCCTCCCTCTCTGTTCCTATGCTGCCAGCTTCGCCATCGGGAGCTGCGGCTCCCACTTCCCATATAGATAGACAAGGGTGCACAACGGTGCTTTAAAACTTGCGGGGCGTTTCTGGTGCTCTCTGGGTTGTTTTGGGGCTTCTGTCACAGCATTTGTGTGCTTTCTGCTCAGAGCCACCTCAACGCTGCTCTGACTCCATAAGGCCACCTTGGTGTTTAGCTGGTGAGGAGCACAGACAAGTCTTGTGCTGCAGCTGAAGCGTTTTTCCACCCAATCCATCCCCTTCTTGCCCCAGCCCACCCCGGGAAGCTTGTCCTCATGAATATGGACCATCACCCTGTGCTGGAGCAAGGCTTTTCCAAGGTGAGCCCTATACCCAGCATTTCAAAGGGATGCTGCTGTCAAGCACCCAGCTTGTCACAGAACTGAGCTGGAGCCACTGAAGCAGTGGGTGGTACCCAGGTGTGTTAAGCTAATCCTCAGCTCTCCTAACGCAGTTACTTTCCCTCCTGAGTAACTGGGACAAGCACAGGAGAGGCAGAGAGTGTTTCTGTGTCATGATTACTTGGTGCAACCTCTCCCTTACTTCCCACCAGTTAGTATTGCTGTGTTGTGGGCAGAGGTGTTAGGGATAGCGGGTAAGATCTCACTCTGTCTAAAAGCTGTGGCAAAGCAGCTTACACCAGCCGTGCCCAGGGCTGCTGTGGCTGTGAGGTGGAGTTTGTTAGCCTGTTCAGAGCATCCTGACGCAGTGTTGTGGCTGAATTAGAGCTTCTGCTGACACAGGAGGGGGTGCACCCTGCTGTCCTGTGCCTGTGCCTGGCACTGCAAGCATAACAGAGAACCTGTGCCTGAAAGGCACGTACGTTTCATGTTCATCACATAGGGTAAGTCCCGTGCATGGAGATGCAGGACCTGGTGGCTGGAGTGCAGAATGCATGGAGAGAAAGTCCACTTTTGCAGAGCGTTTCCCAAGGCATCCAAGGACTCTCTCAAACCCACAAAGCCTGCCCTAAAAAACCACAGCTGCAGCAAAAGAGGAAGAGTCCACAGCAGAACCCAGAGCATGTTAAACCTTGCAAAACAGGTCTCTGTCTGTGGTGGGCAGTGTGTGTGTGGATGCGTACATACATGTACATGAAGGGAG